TTGTCTCTCCATTATTTTAATCTTTAATCATATTAAAAATAAATTAATAAAATAATATTTTCAGAAAATATTGTTCAACATAATATTTTTCTCCCAATTATAATTTTATCCCCTTTATAATAATCATATTATTATTTTGAATTTGAATTTTAAAATCATATTTTAAAATCCAACTTATTAATTTAGTAATTACATTAATTACTTAATTAATATCCAAAATCCAATTAATCAATCCAATTGATTAATTTATAATATTTCTTTAATTGATATCCAATTCATAATTAGATAATTAATTAAATAATTATATTATTTAATTAATCTTTATCAATTAATTCTAACTCTTTAGAAATATCATTTTAACTTGTTTTCATTCAAAACTTGGTGTGACCTTTTAGGTTCACTATTAATACTAGTAGTGTGCTTACAACTTTTTGTAATTTGAGTTAATCTCATTAACACTTATTCATGAATTAACTCTTTAATTCAAGAACCCACATATCATGGGAACATCTAGCAAGTAACATGAATCTAGTATTAAGTGAATAGCGAGTAAACCTATTTCGATTACAAGTACATACATGTAAAATCCTTTCGACATCCAATTTCCCGATTAAATCTTTGGGTATGATTTTGTCGAAACCCAAATTGATTTAATAACTATGATTCCATTTCAAGTTTAGTAATTCATTTATGAATCTCTATTCATCCCGCCTTGGCCAAGGACTTTGAATTACTAACTATGAAACACATAGGAAATTCACTTATCTTCATAAGTGTCGAATCCTTTGTTGGCCACTGACAAACTTCCATACATATTAATATAATACCCAAAATATCTCTTTATACGATTGTGCTAGCAATCAAAAGGATAAATCAAAGTAAAATATAATATGCACAAAGTTACCATCGTGCCTCAAATCTAAGGATCAGTCATGTACTATTGTAACATGAAAATTCTTATTCGACAGAAAAATCTTTCATTAAGAATTTTCATACGGTCATGTTCAGTGAACTTGTTCTCTAACAAGCACCCACATATATGTATTTGCGTCCCACGCTAATGTTGATGGAATGCAACATTCTTATCTAATAAGTATACATACTATGTGCAAGTCTTTTTCGGATTTATTCGATATCCCTTCTTGAAACATCAATCGACTTGGAACTGTATTTAAGATCACAGCTTTCAAGATATGTTCCATGATTACCATCTCTATGCGCAACCATATCTTATAGCTATAAGTGATCTAGGGAAATTATCTTAAGTGCAAATATATGATAAATGCTTACTCTTAAAATAAAGTAATGCCTTATTATTTAATATAATTCCAATAGATTGTATTTACAAGTAGAATACGTCCAATCCAATTGGAACGCCGGGTATACTACTCTAACAGTTTCGACGATCCAAACCTTCAAACTATCGTTCCAATGGCACATAGCATGAATATACGTGAGTAATCAAGTAATTCGATCGAAAAACCATAAAAAAAGCACGCTTTGTTTCGGAAAACAACTATAACTATTGTCCATTCGTTATAGAATTGAAAAAACGAATGTACAATCTTTATTGTTGTTTTTTGACCAAAGTCTACCTTAAACGAGACCGTAATTCGTCATATAATACATTATAAATATATCAAATTTGTTATCGGTCTAATTTTAATCTTTTTTTCATTTAAAATAACGAATTTATGATCTAACTATTTTTTTTTAAAAGGAACAAGTGTTGTTATTTTTTTTTTTTAAAAAAAAAGAGTTTCATCGTGAGTGTTTCGACAATCCAAACCTTCAAACTATCGTTCCAATGGCACATAGCATGAATATACGTGAGTAATCAAGTAATTCGTTATGGTTGTTTTTCGTAACAAATGCACTTAAAACGACCGTGCACTCGTCATATAACACATTATAAAGATGTTAAACTCGTTATGAGTCTCATTTTGGTCATTTTTCATGTAAAATATCAAATTTAAACTAGTTAAAATTTAAGGCATAAATATAAAATTAGCCAATACGTACAGGTACGTAACCCTAGTGGCAGAGTGGAAATGCAATAAGTTCTGATAGGCTTTTCAATAGGGGAAAATATTTTGCTAACTATTGTAGCTCAAACAGTTCTAAGCACATAAGTTATCTGAGAAAGACGAAATTGTGAAATTTATCACTGTCATAGAAGGTCCTGTATGTGAAATTGTTTACCAATCGTAATAGATTAAAATCTTATCAAAACATAAATCAACTATTCCATT